GGACCCACGGAGCCTAGCAAACTTTGTGTGAATCCTTGACCGATCTCAGAGCTCTTCTACCCGGGTTCGAGTCCTGCAGGTTTATTTTCCCGTCGTCGAAACCCATTGCGACGTACCCTCGTATTTTATATCTTCCCGTCGCCGGAACCCTTTGCGACGTACCCTCGTGCCCTGCAGGTTCGAGTTTTGTCTTCTTCTGTCTGTAACCGCAACTCAAGCAAGTTTTCCAGCCTACACCACTGCCATCTCGGTGTAAGTAAACAATCTTTAAAACTACCGCTACGCATTTGTGCCTAATTCCAGCTCGACGGCCTTCCCTCTCCGACCCGGCATGCCCGGGCTGCTGGCCACAGCCCGCGTGCAGCGCAGAAAAGGGCTCAGGTCGCTCCCGGCCCGCACACTCTAATGCAGTGTTTCTCTAAGTGGTGGTCCGCGGACCGGTGCCAGTCCACGAGCCACCGGTTGCCGGTCTGCAGGAAGTTGCCAGGAAAGAAAAAGATATTTTCAGAAGCATAACATTGATATGTCATAGCGCCACAGTTCGTACGTTCCAACACTCCAGGTGACGTCACATCGTGCAAGGTGAGGAAAGAGAAAGAAACAGCCGGTCGCGCATTTGTATAGCACTGTTACACGCAGTTGGTGCCACCGGCTGAACCAGGCATCGGTCCCTGGCCCACTGGAAAAAAAATTGCCGGTCCGTCACATCAGATAGTTTGAGAAGCACTGCTCTAATGGATGCAAGTTTCTGCTTCCACAGAAGTACTTTAAAAAGTTATTTTTAAAACAAACATTTCCTGCAGATAAACTTCTTTCTAGGTTGACTGTACTTTTCATCAGAAAGAGTTGCTTTTTCAAAAGCCTCTTTATATAAAGTGATATAAAACAGGTGCATACAATTAAACAAATGATGCAAACTTTTTGTTGCAGCTAGGAAGAACTGATGGGTGGACTAGACTATGCAAGCTTTGCCTTAGCGCTTTCCTCTCTTCCACTGCTAACAAAGTTATTTTTTTCCAAAATGAGAATTAATCTATTTAAAAATGTATGCTGAACTAAGATGTTATATGATTATACACATTAAAACGAAAAAGAAATACTTACTTTTATGCTTTGGATATATAACATCAAACCCAGGTAATGGCATCACTACATCATGGATAGAATAGTCCTCAACATCTGCTTCCTCAATATGAACAGCTGTGGCTATAATTCAAGCAATTTTCTGATTAACATGAACATGTGTTGTGTTTTTTGAACTGTCACAGACATTTGTTCTTGACTTATTTTAAAGAAGTATTTGATTTAAACAAGTTTGATTTTAAATAAAGGTTAATACTGACAACACCACATGCCATAAAAGATACATATAGCAACATTTAATTTTACCTCCTTTAAGGACAAGATCTCCTGGTACAGCTTTAAGCCCATATTCTTCTATTCTCTTGCTCACAGTGTTATTCCATACGTAACTCTGATAGCTATGAATATACATCAGACGATTATTCCTTGGTATCTGTAATGAAAAACAAACAAATGATGTTACACCCAACAATTAGAATTTTACTTATTTTCTCCAGTCAACAACATCTGACAAATAACACAAAAAGAAACAATTATTTGAGGTTATATATGATTTTTGGACTTAATTTGGAAGAAATTACTTGTAAGAGAAAAAAAATATGAATCAATCCCTCCACTCAAAAAACTAATATTTTCACATTTGGTGTAACAATTTTTCAAGTGCATTTCTGATGCAGCCACTAGTTCTGCTGAGGTTCATTTTCAACACTGTAAGAAAGTACTGAACTTCCAATAAGCTTATAGCTATTACAGTCATTTGGTCAAGTACTCTAACCTCTTGTATAACACAAGCCAAAGAACTTTATTCACTACAGCAAAGCACCAGCTGCAGTTGAACTATAGCTGGTATATGAAAAGACCTAATACTAGTTTTAAAAGAACCACAATCAAACCAAAAATACCCCCACACAAATTAATGGTGTATCTATTTCCTTTGCCAAGTTCTTACAATAGTTACCTTTACTGTTAATTTGATTTGATTCTCTAAAGCCACAGACAGATTTTAGATAAAACTTTTTTTTCCATGTGATGTGCACATAACCATAGACGCAACTGAGATTAAGTAACTATGAAGTTTCCATATTAACATGCAACCAAATTTAGGATTATGTTATAAGTATAACCTGTATACACTGAATAATTCACTAAGCATCAATTTGACTAGAGATTCTCAAGAGTAAGTGTTCTCTTTCTCACTCTCTCATATCCAGGAGAAGGACCCAAGGGGGTATCCTAAGACAAACTATATAAAATATGAATATGAGTGTCTTAGGACAACCAAAAATGATTAATACATTATTAAATCTAATGTTAAGACAAAAGAGCCCAAACCCACTCATCCCACAGCATTTTCACACTCACTATGCCAAATGCAGAGATTATATTCTTCATTCCATACTTTGAAAGTCCCCGTAGAAGCTGTCCTTCCACACACCTTTTTACAGGTAGTTTTTTGAGGGCTGCTGCTGGGTCTTTAGTCCTTGCCCACTCTTCTCTACATTTTACTAAATACCCTTTTTCAGCTGCAACAATTTAAGATAAATTATGTTAGCTGCCAAACAAACATTTCAACTCAATATACATTAATGAAGTTGAAAATCTTAAGTGTAACTAAGAGCATTCACATATACACCATTCTATAACAAAAAATCTGAAATCCTTCTCCATCTATATTGATCCATCCAAACAACATGAATATACAACAAGTATTTCTTAGTACCTACCTCCAGGTCGTGGTTTTAATATTAAATCCATGACTTCATTCCAGTTATTTTGTAGAATAGCTCTAAAATTCAACAGAAACACGGGTTTTATTACATTTCATCTTTTAGATCTGCTTCTTTGAAGATCAAAAATTCTGTAGATTTACATTTCTTCAGCTATAGCTAATATCATGTAAGACAACTATTGTAGCTACTAACAGATTTTGCTCCTGACTCTCAAGAATGTGACACACAATATGAGTGAACTTTTCCATTTAAAGAAAAAAAAGCAGTAACATACAAAGATACAGTTCTTAAAATATGCACACAGAAAATAAATTAGAAACAAAATATACCTTCCAATCTGATATGTAGGAACAGCTGTGGTTCCAAATCTTTGCATTCCATAATAATTAATGAATCCAATTTCCTTGAGAGACTGCATTGCTTGTTGTACTTGTTCATCAGTTCCTGTTATATTTCTAATATAATAGAAATTTGCTTTTAAAAATAGGGTAAAGTCTCCACAAATAATAGCTACCAGATCAGTCTGAGCTTCTCATTTTCCATTCCTTAAAGCAGTTGTCGGTCTTAAAGTTTAATGTAACTATATGCAGATTTTTTAAAATCCAGTATCTCTTTTACTGATTTTTAACTTCTCAGATCTGAGCTGAACACCCTGACCCAATTAAGGAGGCAGGCACAACCCCATTACCTGAGAACAACTGTGAAATGGTTCCCTTGCAGTTCTCCCAATTTCAGTGGATGGCTCTTGTAACTAAAGTTTCCCAACTTAAAGTTCATCAAACATTTGTTCAAATGTGCAAGTCTTTGTGCAGTGATTCTAAAAAAAAGCAAGAGATTTACAGTGACCAAGCCATTCTAAGAAATATTTACAACAAAAACTGTGTGGGGATGCCAGTATTTCAAGAAATACTACAACAGACCATTTAATTCCCCAAATTTCTTCTGTTTTTAACTAACCTAACACATATTCTAAGTGAAATATCTAAAAGGGAAGGATAGATTACTTTCAAGACACATCCAAATAATCAGCAGGTCTCCCAGAATCTATGTTAAAACATTCACTTGCAAACAAATGCAAAGTCAAGGCTGCCTCAAACTTTCTAAAATATCACGTTCAGCCATATAAGAAGATCAAGTTTAGTCGCATTTTAACTTTGCATTTCTTAGTCTTCAGAAGTTTTAGCACACAGCACCCCCACAACACAAGTTTAACTCCACCCTTTCTTAACAATGTCTCCAAGTAGAAGCCAACACATTTTAAGCACTCTACCGTTACATAATGGCAGTTATCTCAGATAATCCACACCCAAATTAACCACAGTCATGGCATGATCAAAAATACTACAAAACCACACCCAAGTTACTATTTTATCCTTATGTGCATGGGAGAGGGACCCATGGGAAGGCACTAGAGAACTATCAGCATTTGTATCTTTAGCCTGTTTCCTGATTACAGGTCACGTGGGGAACACCTCACTCAGACTTTAGCTCCAGCTGGGCCAGTAAGTGAGAGTTGCAGGTGGGGACAGAAAAAGGTTAGAACAACACTTAAGAACCACAGTTAACTGCACAGTGAAGACATACCCTACAGAAGCTGCTGTGTACTTTGTAACACTTTAGGCACCAAGCACAGGAGCACTGTAGAACACAGAAAGCTAGAGTTGGAGGGACGCCAGGAGGTCATCCAGCTCAGTGATTCTCAACCTTTTTTGTACCAGGGTTCATTTGTAAACATTGATAGCCAGTCCTGACTCACAGCCCCCTTGCCCTGCTGGCACCCCTCACTCCTGACCCCCAACCCCTCCCAGACCTGCTGGTGCCCCTCACTCCCAGTGTGTGGGGCTGGGGGTGGGTATGTGGGGTGGAGGGGTGTGTACACTATGAGGGGGGCATATGCCCCCCCCCCCAATTTGTGCAGGCCTGGGGCTGCAGCCTGGCCAGACCAGCATGGGCAGGAGCCACCCCCATAACCCAGCAGGTAGGTCCCAAAATGGGAGGCTGGAACAGGACAGCGAGACTAGTTGCTGCTGCTGCCACCATGAACCCCATGGCAACCACAGCGCCAGCAGCACAAGATGTAATGGACTGGGGGGGAGGGGGTGACCCACCCTGCCCTCACCTCCTCCCACAGCCAGCCACTTGCATGCCAAGCCACGGCTCCACCTTGCCACCATGACCTGGCTCCCAACCATTAGTCTAGCTGTCCTGCGCTGCAACTCACCTGCTGGGCCATTTAGGCAGCTCCAGCCTGTGCCTCCACACAGTGAGCGTGAAAATCTTATGGGATGAGTGGGTGCGGGGCTGCGGGGGGGCAGAGCTGGTTGGGCCTTGCTGCTGCTGCCTTGTCAACTTAGACAGGCAGATAGAATGGCCTGGCAAGCCGGATCCAGCCTGCAGGCTGTATTTTGTCCACCCCTTGCCACCATGACCTGGCTCCCAACCATTAGTCTAGCTGCCCTGCGCTGCAACTCACCTGCTGGGCCATTTAGGCAGCTCCAGCCTGTGCCTCCACACAGTGAGCGTGAAAATCTTATGGGATGAGTGGGTGCGGGGCTGAGGTGGGGCAGAGCTGGTTGGGCCTTGCTGCTGCTGCCTTGTCAACTTAGACAGGCAGATAGAATGGCCTGGCAAGCCGGATCCAGCCTGCAGGCTGTATTTTGTCCACCCGAGTTGTCCAAGTATTGCAAGGACACAACAGCAACACATGACTTATGTTGTTGGACATTAACTGATGCCATATTATAATGTAATGCCAAGGATCTTCATTGTTTGTGATTTCCAGCGGCACATCTTTCTTATTATCTTCCAGGATATTTCAAGGAGTATGTCAACGAAAGAGGATAGGAGGAGGAAAGTGTGCAAGGAATAGTTCTTGCTCTCCTTCCTGACTCCTTTACAGGATATTTGGTAGGAAAGGATGGCAGGATCCTCATGGTGGGATGCAGCGTGTCAACAGACTAGTGACTTCTGCACTGCTATTAAGTACTGCTTCTGCTGTCTTGTGAACATTCTGCAACATGGCAGTTTGCTTGCGATTAACCTGCTGATCCTGTAAGATCCAGGGACTCCACGCCTCCTACCTACAATTCAGAAGCTGCAGCTTCAGTAAACTGATTTGGAATACTAGCAGTCACCAGGGAACCCCTGTTCTTACAAGAAGTGTTATACAAAACCTAACTGCAAAAATCATGATTAAGCCCTTTACTGAATCAAGAACCAGAACATATTATTTTGGTTTTATATGCAATAGTATCTTCCAAGTAAAGCTAATACATCTGATGTGAAGACCATGCCACGAACAACAAAATAAAATGTACGTGCTATATTTAATGATCTATAGGAAGGTAGGCAAGCAACCTCAGTATGAGAAGAAATATGCAACACATCTTTACTTACCTAAGAACAGCAATCTCTTGGACTGTTATTGCTCTTTTATCTTTGGTTCCCATGTAGGAAAATATGTTTGGCTTAACTCTTTAAATAAGAAAAAAAGAGAACGTATCAGTTTGAGTTTAAAAATAAAAAGCCTCATAAATCCCACACAATTAAAGTCAATGATTCAATTAACATTAGATACAAAAACTTAAATTTATGGAACATCTTGTTTTGACTAGATCCACAGAAATCAGAGAAAGTATAAGTTAGCATGTTTAGAAACAGTACTGCAACTTCATACATTTACAGTATTTCCTAATACTGCATATTATGAATGTTAATTCATGCACGAATACCTAGACACTGTACAAATGTGCAAAGATCAAATCACCATAAAAACATTTAGTACAAGCCTGTATTTCTTCACACACAGTACAATCTAAATCATGTTTATCTCAATGCGCAGCTAACTGAATGAATACTGTGATGTTCAAGTTAGCATGATAGATGCACCTATCTGCCCCGTTCCCATGATTGTTGCCTTCCCCACAAATTTTCTTTGCCCTGCGTGGCTAAGAAACATTCCCTGCTATCCCACTTGTGGGCAGCAGATGGCAACACTACTGCCAATTTAGAGTCTTCATCAAGCTGGATACATACCTCTTAATTAGGAAGTTTCCAGGAATCCTGTTTTTCAAATGCAAGTACCATTTTTACCCGAATCCAAGACACCAAATTCAAGCTATCTCCCCAAGGCTTAGATTGTATGCGAGGAAAACTATAAATATGTTCCATGTATAGAAGCTAATTATTGGATGGTAGTCTTGAATTCATCTCTCCAACCACTACAGCAGGGAAAGCAGCAACAAGGGGGCAAGCAGCAAGGAAAGCAGCTGCAGGGGACAGGTAACCAAATCCCTGCCCTCTGCCCCCCTCATCACCTGGGTCTCACCCCTCCACTCCAGTGGCTGCCCACCCCCTCAGCTCCCCCCGCCCTGCTTACCCTATTTGACAGCTCCAACTCTGACAAGGCACCAGAGGCAGCTGGAGCCCTATCTGGGAAAAGCTGCGGCTCTGGCTCCACCTCCAGCCCTGGGCCAGCATGGCAGCCTCCTGCCATGGGCCAGTACTCATATTCAAGACGAGGCTTTTTCTCCCTTCATACTGAATGGGGGGAAAAACACTTTTCTTGGATTTAAGTCAATATGGTACCACTATTATGCTAGGGTAACCAAACATTCAGAAGTTAAACTATGGACTGGATACAGCTAGAGCTGTGAAGTGCTGCATGAATTCTAGTGGGGAGAGAACAAAAAGTACTCCTCTGGCTTAGCAAAGACAGAATGATCTGGGCTAATGCAATAGCAAGCAAAAGGAGGTTGGGGAATCACCTGCCTTTGACAGAAAAAGGAATCAGTGGTTAGAACAGAACAAAGATCAATAACTGCAACTGCTACAAAAGCCAATTTCTATGACCATAATATTTATTAGTGCTTTTTGTAGCTGTATATTTTGATAGGTGCATGCCTAAAACCCTTGAGAGAAACAATACTGCAGCTTTCTTTCACTGGGGAAAAGGGGCATATTCTTAGAATTATTCAAATGGCAACTATAAACATTTGCTAAGATACTGCCTTACGGTAAGTTAATTGAACTAAGAATACATCTAACAGTTATACTATGCCATTTTAATTAGTCAGGACTATTTTACTCCCCCTTCTCACTTCCCAAACTTAACAAAACATTTCAAATTTGAGCTCTGAAAACCAAATCTTTTGCAATTATCAGGCATATTGAGTTAAACATTTCCTGTGTTGCACTGGCAAAGTGACCTTAAAAGATATTTACAATATCATGAAAATATTTGACTTTTACTGGAGGTATGTGCTATTGTGTGCAACTCGAAACAGCAAAAGAATTTTCTTACCTTAAAAACTTTGACAGCACATTAATAGCATCCATTGTATCCTTGTTTTCCTTATATAATACAAAGTGACAGTAGTTTCCCCTAGATTTTGGCCAAGAGTGTTTTCTTGGATCTTTAAAACAAAAAGTGAAAAATGTAAGTGTTACTCAGTCTGCTAGTGTTATTATTAATTTTCTTTTTTTGTAAATATAAAACTAATTTACTTGCCAATGTAGTCTCCATTTAAAAAAAACAAAAACCTTCAAGTGTTAGTCATTTCTAGTAGTCTCCATCTGCATCTTACTTAGGAAAATAAAGCATTGATTGATAGTTTAACTTAGATATATGAAAAAATGGACTGTCTCCAAGTGACCATGTTGTAAATTTTCACTGCAATGTACATGGTTATAACCATGTGACTGTCCCAAATACTAATGGAAACTGCATGACAAAAGGACGTGTCATTTTATCTGAAAGCTTTGGCTATTTAATTAATGTTATACTGTTTGGCCCTGCTCCTACAGTGAAATCAGTTTTAGCCTTGGCTTCACTTTGAACAATTAGGCACTTTGGATCTGGGTCTGATCCACTGCTTCCTGAAATCAACAGAAAGACTCCAGTGACCACTGGGTTCACTCCTTAGTGTATGTGAAGAATATTTTAAGGATGGACTTAATAAGGTTTGATTCATTTCTGTACTATAACTGTACATGTAGCAGAGTTCGAGTTGTACCGAATACTTACTCCCAATTTACCAATGCCTCAAACTATTAGAATTCTCTTTTAGGTAAGGTGCAATAATGAGGCCCTATGTGGGGAAGAGGCATTTTGCAAAGTTTAAAAATCAATAAATAATTCAAACTCACTTTTGGCATTATAAGATTATAAAACTGAAAAACAATTACCAAAATGTGGGGTTAGATTTTGAGAAGGCTGGATAGAGAGCATATTTAGGCTTCTGTAGTCTAAAAGCTGTTCATATAATTTTAGCCACTACTTTCAGAGGTCTGAAAAGAGAAACAAGACTGTCTGAGCCTGTCAGATATGTTGAACAGTTATTATTAGACAGTGAAATTTTCAAAGATAAATATTATTTTTATAGTCATTTGTCATTTTGAAACCAATCCTCCATCCACTGAAATCAAAGAAGAGTCTGTCAAAAGACAGCAGTATATGGACAAGAAGGACCTCTTTTTTTATTTTAGGCTCTTTTATAAATAAATAAATAACTAACTGAAGACACTAAATACCCTCAGAATTATTAAGTAAATTTCTCCCTGACACCTATAAGGAGTTCTCTGTAAAACAAACAGCTTGATCTGGTCCATGTTCGGTTTGCTAAGAGCTACTGATTTTTCTTGTAAATCACCAGTCCTCATTGGTTTCAATTTATTCTTACAAAATTAAATTTTAGGCTAGGTGATAACTGAAGTAGCAAATTCATTTTAAAGAACAAAAGGTATTCTCACAAAAAATATATGTAGTTAGAGTAGGACAAAGGAGAAAGGGACAAAAGTGACTCACAAGAAGAATACTTTTAAGTTTCAAGTTTCTCCAAAATGTATCAGTTAGTCCATATTGTACCCAAGAGGCCTGATCACAGCCAGATTAAGATCTAGGCACACCATACCACAGGATCCCTCATGGCTCTACCCCTACAGCCCTCGATTTGTGCTATGGCCCTGTTCCCCACACAGTGATGGTAGCTATAGACCCAACTTTTCCCTGCCAGAAACGGCAGCAAGAGCCTCACAAGATTTACCCAAGCGGATGGAAAGGACCTGCAAGGGGTTGGTGAATAGGGTGATATTAGCAGGGCTTCCCAGCACAGCAGGTCTTGGGAGTCAATACTCCATTGCGATGAGCAGAACAGTTCACATCTTTCAGAATATTACATCAAGTTTTGTGAGAACTCAGGCAGGCCCTACTGTATCAGTTATATAAATTCACTTAATATTTTCAAGCTTTTTACTACAAGCACAAAGGCAAAAAGCATGTGTAATAACATCTTGGATCCTGATACAAATCACCTGAATCTAGTAGCTGGGGCCCTAAACATCTGCATATGCCACTGATTTCAGTGAGGCCAGGAGTTTCCCCATTATCTTTAATACAGAGATGTCTTGGTCCTGTAAATCACTTGTTATATCTATTTCTCCATATATTTCTCCATTTAATTCTTGCTAGTTTGGCCACAGTCTTCCCTATTTAGTGGGTCTGACTGGTTGGCATTTCATTTTACCAACATGAAATGCCAACATCTCTTACCTGTTGCAGTTCTGACCTCTGTCCCAGTGCATAGCATAAAGAGCATAAAAGAGCAGTGTTTAATTTTTAGACAACTGAAGGGGTTTAGAGGTGAACATGCAGGTTTATGGTTACGTGGTTCATTACGCTGTAGACTGCTATAGCATCCAACAGTTATGTGGCAGATGACAGCAATTTAGACAGTTATGCAATGGAATCGTGCAGAGGCAAACAGTGAACATATGGAAAGCTTCAATCCAAGATGCAAAGAACTTCACTGTGGAAAATGGTGGAGCAGCACTGCTGACAATTTACTGACCTAATAAGCCCAAGCCCCAAGTACTCTAAATACTACACATATAAAAGGGTTTGCAAGTTTTCATAGTTTAGAAACTATTTTTGTAACCATTGACATCATAAGAATAGTTCATCATATGTGTCAGCTAAAAGTCAATTACTCAATCTTTAAAAAGTCTTGCTCACCCAGGGGACCAATTCAAGATTGAGACCTCATATGTTATTGCTGTAAAAACACAAAAGACAGAGATTGTCCTTGCCCACACCCTGACCGTGGAAGCATTTATGCATACCGAGTGTCTCTCTCACACATGACCCTCTCATTGAATTGAATTTCAATGAATGTACATAGGTAAGTGATTGCAGGATCAGGGTCTAAGAATCTAAGTTTAAAGGCATGAAGTTCTACTGCAGCATTTGTAGTTGCTCCGGAAAAGATGTTCACCATAAAGAAATACCCTTAAGATATTTCTTTTAAAAACAGACACCAATTGAAATAATCTTCACATTCTATTTGCAAGCTGCCTTCTAGTTATAACTGTTCAATTTACTACAGGCACTTCACTGTAAAAAATGTTTAAGAATATAAATCTCAGTGGGGCAAGGTGAAAGGTAATTCTAACAACTCAATAGAAAATAAAAATTGTTTGGAGATTACTTTTGTGTTTGCAAGTATGCATACTCATGCAAAAAGCATGCAAACGTAAGATAGCCTAGACAAGGTTAATGTGCTACACACGACACACGTAATGATAATATGTACCAAGTTTTGATGCTTAAAATACTTCACACCATGTAGCACAGTATTCCTACATTTGCTTTGAAAAAGTCTCAAAGTAAATCTATAGTTCCTATTTGATCAGTATTTATTTTGGAGGCCATAAACTGTCAATGATATGATTTCCTTTATTTCTAAATGACATAAAATGAATTGAAATATGCCCAATTTAAGCCAAAATAAGAGTATTCCTACAGCATTTCATGCCACTTTAAGTAAAATGGCTTAAGAAAAAAAAAAAAAAAATCGCATTTAATTAAACTACTGGCATTCTGCATTTAGATAAACATTAAACCTTAAAATCAACTTAATTTATCAATGATATCAGATATGCAACATGCTGTTAAACACTAATAGTGGTGCACCCCGTACCACAAATTTAAACTCGGGAACACCGAATACTTGGTGAATATTCTTTTTTGCTCCAAATCTCATCATTATTTTTAGTGTCCAAAAGCAGTTACTCTAATCTATAATGGACAGATAGTTTTTGCATACATACTCAATTTTAGCAAGGAACAAGCTTATGATTAAACTGAAAGCCTAAGCATTTTCAGCAATTTTTTTTTAAAACCACTACTTCAAAAGAGGGTCATTACCAAGGAATAGCTTAATAAAATACTGCAAAATAAAACTGAAGATAGATGCACATTTAAAGGCAGGACTGGATTCAATCCCTGATCCCAATCACGCCTCCTGCCATGCCACACATGCATGGCTGGATGCACTATTTTTAGAAGTGCACCAGTTGGTGCGATATAAAGAAAATTTGCTGTATTAGATATCAGCCTGATGAGGCCAATAATTTGGCTGATAAATGTCTGTGCTGTGCACAGCCACAGAGCAGCATGAAGGAGAGCCAGCAGTGTGGAGAGCTGCCTCCAGCTGATAAATCGGAAGGGGGGTGGGGTGGAAAGGACGTTGGGGGTAGATCAACACCCCCGCAGTGAGGGAGGGAGGGGGCAGGAGCAGTTCCTGCTGCTGCTTGCACCCTGAGAGAGTCTGCAGGGGTGCCCCCTGGATCTGCACGGGGCAGGCAGGGGGGGTGGGCTGGAGCTGGTGTTGCATGGGGCTCTTCTTGGCAGGGGCTGGGCTCAGAGCGGGCACTGCAGTGCTGGAAGGGGCTGCAGCCACCTCAAATTTCACTGTAGCGGCCTGACTCAATATCCTGCCTCCACCCACAAGCTGGGAAGAGCGAGGCTGTGCTGGGAAGCTGGCGGCAGTGGTGTCACTGGGAGCAGAGCTGAGGGAAAATCTGGGGGTGGCTGCAGCCCCCTCCCAGCACCTCCTTAAATATCAGTATTGGCCCCCAAAATCTCTATCAGTGCACCCCACCCCTAACTATTTTGGGATTGGGAATCAGATCTCAATTGCATCCTACTTCTCAGTGCAGGGAGAACCCAAGATCATGATACCACATTCCCCACTGCACTGGCAAGCTGAAAGCCAGGTGCCCAACAGTCAGCTGTCAGCTGGTTCTGGGACTACATTGGGGATCAAAGAGGTCCAGTTCAGTCTCCAGAACTGATGGATAATAAACTGATCATCAGCTGGTTCAGGACTACAATGGAGCTCAAACTGACTTGGGTACAGTTCCAAACCAGGCAACAATCAGATCATCAGCCAGTTCCAGGGACTGCACAGGGGCTAGTTTGACCTCCAGCGAGAAAAGGTAAGCGGATCAGCCAGCAGGGACTGCATCAAGGCCAGCTGAAGCCTTGGATTGTACACAGACCTGGCTGACCCCAATTGTTGGCTGATAGGGATGGCACTGGAGCCAGTTGTAGACCCCAGTGTGGTCCTGACCCTGCCACACATTCCGTTTAAGGCACAATGGAAACCAACCACAAAAATATTACAAAAAAAGTGTAATATTTTTGTGGCTGGTTTCCCTTTCCCTGGCCAATAATTGCCTGAACATGTGGCCAGTTTACTCATCACATTTTATGTGTAACATCCATCAGATGCCTAACAAACACATTGGGCTCTGTTTCATAGCTGGTAGGGTCAGAAGGGACCTAAGCAGATCATCGAGTCCAAACCCCTGCCATGGGCAGGAAAGGATGCTGGGGTCAAACGACCCCGGCTAGGTGGCTGTCTAGCCTCCTTTTGAAGACCCCCACGGCAGGAGCGAGCACCACTTCCCTTGGAAGTTGGTTCCAGCTCCTAGCTGCCCCTGACTGTGAAGTAGTGCCTCCTGATATCTAGCCTGAATCTACTCTCCATCAACTTATGACCATTGTTCCTTGTTACTCCTGGTAGTGCTCAGGGGAACAGGGACTCTCCCATTGCCTGCTGGTCCCCCTTGGCGAGTTTATAGGCGGCCACCAGATCCCCTCTCAGCCTTCTTTTGAGGAGACTGAACAGGTTCAGGTCCCGTAGCCTCTCCTCATATGGCCTACCCTGCTGCCCCCGATCACGCGAGTGGCCCTCCTCTGGACCCTCTCAATGCTGTCCACATCCCTCCTGAAGTGCAGTGCCCAGAACTGGATGCAGTACTCCGACTGCGGCCTGACCAGTGTCGCATGGGGGGGGAGGATCACCTCCCTGGACCTGCTCATGATGCATCTATGGATACATGACAAGGTGCGGTTAGCCTTCCTGACACATGTATCACCTATTCCAGTCCTTACTGCTTTCTCCTTTATTATAACAGAGATTTAGGGTAAGTAGCCTAATTAAAGGTATGTTTTATAGTATCAAAGAAATGTGAGTAATTCCAACAGAGTTTAGTGTATTCTGAGGAGCTCCCAATAAAAGGATTATGAATGTTAGGCATTTTTTGATACTTTAATATCATGTTTCTCTGGAACAGTGCAGGCTCGAAGACTGAGCCCTAGGGAACCCCACTGCCCACATCCCTCCAGGTCAAAAATGACCCATCCACCACCACTCTCTGGGTGCAGCCCTCCAGCCAATTTGCGACCCATCTGACTGCATAGGCGTCGACAGCACAGTTGCCTACTTTTTTAATGAGGATGGGGTGAGAGACAGTGTCGAAGGCCTTCCTGAAGTCCAGAAAGACTACGTCCACCGTGACACCTGTGCCCAAGGCTTTTGTGACCTGGTCAAAGAAGGCAACTATCAGGGCTCCAGGGGTGACCGTAACATCCTCTGGAAGCTCTATAACCATGCCCACTCCATCCCTAGGGCACCTTCTTGTCTTTCCTGCCACACCTTGATGGAAATACAATAAGGGGGGGGGGGAGGTGCTGCCCTGATTTTATTGTGATGACCACCTAGATTATGGTCATGGACTTGTGAGTCAATTGTATGGCTCCATACCACCCCTACACCGTTCCCCATGCCTCGCAGATGGCATCCTTGCAGATGGCCTGCTAGTCATTGACACAATCCCTCTCTAGGCCTTCTGACCCCTTGGCCCTCGCTCAGCCACACACTGGCTCTCAGACCCCTCAGCCTCTTTCCTGACCCCTCTCCGGTTGCCAGACCCCTCAATGTCTCAGGGATGACCACCAGATCTTATGACAACAGGCTGAGAGCTATGGGGCTCTTTAGCCTGCAAAAGCGCAGGCTCAGGGGTGATCTGATGGCCACCTATGTTTATCAGGGGTGACCACCAGTATCTGGGGGAACGTCTGTTCACCAGAGTGCCCCAAGGGATGACGAGGTCGAACAGTTATAAACTACTGCAAGACTGTTTCAGGCTGGACATAAGGAAGAATTTCTTTTCTGTCCAAGCCCCCAAGGTCTGGAACAGCCTGCCATCGGAGGTGGTTCAAGCACCTACATTGAACACCTTCAAGAAAAAATTGGATGCTTATCTTGCTGGGATCCTATGACCCCAGCTGACTTCCTATCTTCGGGCGGGGGGCTGGACTCGATGATCTTCCGAGGTCCCTTCCAGTGCTAATGTCTATGAAACCTATGAAATGTATGAACTCTAGCCTCCCAGCAGGGCCCAAGCCTCTCTCAGGGCTCTCCTTGCCCCTCCACAGGCCCACAGACTCGTAGCCCCCTTTTTAGGGATCTGGACCCCACACTGGGTCCCTAGGAACCTCCTCCATCCCCTTAGTTCCTACCCAAACCTCTGGATGTCAGTCTCCTTGCTGGCATTCAGGAGCTGCAGCCTTCCTGCTGGGTGATGTTCCTGCACCTGCTCCCAAGACGTTACTGCCATCCTTGCTCCAACTAGGAGACTCCCCTACCATCAGGTGACTCCCTTGCTCAGGCCTAGCCTCACCTGCCTGCCCCTGGGGCAGCTGACTCTGCAGTTAGCCCTGACCCCCACCTGCCAGTGGCTCAACAGGCTGCCAGAGCAATTGAAGTGGCAGGCACAACAAGTGCCCTGCCATAGGCTCCATTCAAATGAATGGGAAATTGTATATTAATTTTGAAAGATGTAACCATGAGTTTATCTCTAATCCTATAATTGTACAATTCCCTTTAGGTCCACTTACATTCATATAGACCAAATTAAACCACTACCAAATACTGTATTTACTCGCATCTAAAATGACACTGAATTTAAAACAATCCCCCAATAAGTAGATTCAATATATTGAAAATTTATAAATTTGTCATAATTTTCCAAGTGTAGAATCTAATTATTGGAGGGGCATCTTTAATACCTCCCTCCCACAGCTGCAGGGGGCAGTCAATTGGGGGGAAGGGAGGAAGGCGGTCAAGCAGCTTGTCCCCTGCTTGTGCCTGCCCCCTTGCCACCTCCCCCCACCACCCTCTGGCTCCATGCCAGCAGGCTCCATCTCCATTCGAGCATGGGAGCACAGCCCCAGCCAAGCCCCTGTAGCGGCTGTGCAGGCTACACACCACTGCTACTGCGCCAGGCTGGGGCTGCGCTCTGTGCTCCAGGCTGCAGCATGCACACATCCTGCCAGCGTGGAGCAAAGATGCAGGGTAGGCAGGCAAGGGAGATACTGTTGGTCTGCAAGGGAGCAGAGGCTGAATGATGAGGGAAGATGGAGGAAAAGAGGGTGCAGAGGCAGCAGGGAAAGGGAGGCAGCAGCTGCAATTATGGCCCTGACCCCAGGTAGGGGCTGGAGCCTGGCCACAACAGCCTCCTGCTCCCCCCCACCACAGTTCTAAGACAAGGGGTTCTCCCCCCACACACATTAGAAGGGGGAAACTTCATCTTAGAATCAAGTACATACAGTAATAAAAAGAATCTTATATTGTCTGTTTCTGACTCTCAAGTTATCAATACCTCCCCATTTACTATGAACCAACAAAACAGTCTTACCTTTCCTACCTAAACCTACCCGGTTTGGGAAAATAAATGATTTTATATCATATCCTATACCATATCCTATAGGATTTAAGGGTAACATTATTAGATGAGTCACTATAGAGACCTGCAGCTGCCTCCAAGTTCCAATTATAAAGTATGCCTTTGCTTGACAAATTAGTAATTTTCAAGTTTTTTCTTTAAATTGCAGTTCAACTTTAACTGTGATTTTACAAAAGAATTGATAGCGAGAGTAATACACTCACTTGCCAGTGCCTTTTTCCCAGCAGCATGATAAGCAACAATATATTTTTTCCCATCTCGGTCTTCTGTTTTAGTTTCTAACCCAGGAAACAAGGACTTCACAGCTTGGTGGATAACTGTTCTTTTCTCTTTGGTGTCTTCAATGACCTAGGTTTAAAAAAAAAAACAAAAAAAAAACAAAAACAAAAAAACAAACAAAAAAAAAAAACAACACACACACACACAACAAACAGCACACACAACTACCATGAAACTTTTGGTCCCATTAAAAACACACCTACGCAATAAAGTATGATCACATCATACTTTAAAAGGCCTACCTTTTAATGTTAATATGCACAGTAATACATACTTATGCAACTATAAATCCTGAAATTTGGTTCTTATCCAAATTTCACCTATCTGAATGGCGAATGTATCCAAACCATGTCCCTAAGGCACTTGAATACACTCTTTACAAATAAATCAGATGGCTTTTTGAATGTAGAAATGCTTACTTAACTCTAAAATTGCCAATTTTGAACCAGCTCCAAACTTTCTGCACAAATTTAGCTAAGCAGAACTTCATAGTATTTGAGTTACTTAAAGATATCCAATAAGTCTTTATCTTTTATACTGCTTTTCTATCTTTGTTACTGTGAAAAATGAAATTCACCTCATTTCTATTAATTCCTTGGAAACTTTCTTTCATCAAGAGATTTATTTAATTCCTATTATATAATAACTCTACAAAATAAAACACATAAATACTGCAATAAAGTCATGATCACACAAAGACTAGTAACATATTTAAATCTTATGCAAGTGATAAGTCCTATTGAAACCCCAAGCGACTTATCTTGTACATTACGTTAAATTCATCTTTATGCCCTTATAGGATTGAATCCTAAATTTGCAAGTTTTAGCATCACCTATTCTTATGTAAAGTTCAAATTAGTCTTATATCTTGCATGTAAAATAGGTCCTTTTCAACCACACACCTCTGCCACTTCAAAAAGAATGAGTTAGCCAAGTCCTTAGCATTGTTTTACCACTTTACCTCTATGGCAACACTGGTTTCTTTATTCTTAAAAAGCTGGAGCTCTTCTAAACGTTGCTTGTCTTCATCTGACAAAACTGTAAATACTTCCTCTGAAGGATCCTAATATACATAAAAACAGCAACAACTTACAAAGTGACACCCCTTTTTTTTTTTTTTTTTTTTAATTATCACACTGTTGCTGAGAGCTATTCAAAAATTACCTCATTATCCACTGGAACAGTAAAGTCATCTAAATGGCTTACACACCCATCTTTTCCTATTTCATGAACAACGAAGTCAGAGTATCTGACAAAAAGAAACACAGGTAGGTTAAAAAAAAAGAAAAAAAAGCATCTTGTTCACAAGTCATTTTTAGTACACTTTATCCAATCTCTAAATTAAAAACTGTAGACATTATTTATCAGAAATTCTCTCCTGCAAAAAGTACCCAAAGACAATTTGGATATTCTCTTGCATTATCTTTAGCCACAAATTAAAAGCTCAAAATTAAAATAATTCTTTTTTTCCCTCGACTGCAAAAGCATTTTTGTTGCTGTAGGATTATTAACGAGTACAAACCCATCAGTATTTAACAAAAACAAACCAAAAAACCCCCAAAAAACAAAAAATAAGAGAAAAGTTTACACATAATAGGATATTTACTCTTTCAGGAGCAAGAAGAATAAAATAAATTATGAGTAATTTAAAATTATTGGAACTTTGCAAGAGAACTTAAAGGAGAAAAGTTAGGTCTTTATTCTCAGGGATGTATTTGGTAGCCGTGTTGGTCTGAGACAAAAAGAAATGTAAAACTATAGAATTCTTGGTTCAGAGATGATACCAACTAAGAAATCTCAAGATAATGTTTTTGCAATTTCTTAGTTGGTCTAATAAAAGGTATCATTTCTGAGCCAAGAGTTCTAGAGTTTTGCATTTCTTTTTGTCTCAGACCAACACGGCTACCAAATACGTCCCTGAAACATGAAAGATGCTGAATTTTAGCTGATTTTGGATTTAAGCTTGATTGCTGAACAAGAAAGATTTCTACACCTCCTGCCTTCTCCCATCTGACACCACCAGGGAAGGAATCCTGCCTTATCTGCACATCAAAGAGCAACTCACAAAGACACTCTCATGGACCCCAAGGAACAGCCTTCCACCTTCAGCTTCCTCTGTGCAAAAATTAAGTTTATTTTCTACCTTTGGGGATTTTTTACCATCTTTAATTTTCCCTAAGCCTGAGGAAGGGCTCGTGCCTGAAAGCTTGCAGAATATATATATATTTTTAATGATTTCTTAGTTGGTCTAATAAAAGGGATCATCTCTGAACCAAGAGTTCTAGAGTTTTGCAAATCTTCATTCTGGCATTTCAGCGTTCTTTTGCCTAATTATTTTACCTATATCCCAGTTTTCAAACAGGTACTCACTCTGGAGCTTGCTAAATTGATTTCCTTGTCATTCACAAGAAAGCCAAAGTCTTTCACAGCTTCCCAGGAAAGATATAATTAGCAGGTCACTGCTGCAATCTTTGATGTTACCAAGCCTTTTTTTTTTTTCAATATAATGTTAGTAAAACTGGTTATCTATATAAGAATCCTACAGTATTTGCTGTATTTTCTGAATTGTTTCCTTGCCTACTAAGTTACAAATCCCTCATTCACATTCTTATTCCTACTCATTACTGAAAATTATTAAGATTCTACCGTGTTATTTCATGAAGGGGTATATGAACGTTATCACTACAACCACCTTATCTACTGCCAGGTGTAAGCTGGAAATCAACTACCCTTTACCTAAAAATATCAGATCCAATTCAGTTCTCAGCTACATGGGTGAAAATCCAGAGAACTCTACTAAAGTAAGAGCAACTCTACTTCTCTAATCATTAAAACAGCAAAGCAACTAAAAAAAGAGAGCCTTTTCTAGAGCACATGGTTGGTTAAGGGAAAGTTCTAGACTCATTTTGGGCTTCACAAGTATAGACAATGTTACATTTATATAAAAACACTTCATCTAGAAAGTTGAAAGAAAATGCTCCAATTATGAAACTCTGAAAAGGGAAAGAGGTCTCACTGTGGGGATGCTTTTTTTAAGTTACATCCAGAGCCACACGGATTTGATAAATCATGCCTATGTGAAGTCATGTTAGCTTGGCAAAATTCCTTCCATAAGATGTGACATGTTTTGCCTATTATTTGTACCTAGACACTGTGATGATGGGCGTGTAACTTATAACTGATCTATATAAACCACATGGGCCAGAAAAGAGAAAGGGTACTATGAAGACAGCCTACTTCTCCATCAAAACAGTACATTAGGATTATGGTTGACCAACTCATTTTAAAGTACAGATATGATTAACCTACTACTATAGTTTTGAACCAACCATCCAACAGTTTTCACTGTTATTCAAAGGATGAAAGCAAACAAGTATCATGATTATGCAAGATCTCAAAAGAATCTTCCACATATGTGAGGTGTTGCTGCCACTAATAAATGGGGATAGTGACATGTGTTTTGGGGGGATTGTTATATCTGGAGTTTAGCAGGAAAAGCACATAATATTCTCTATTTATACTAAAACTATATGACGATTTACATTTGAGGCAAATAAACACATTATCAAATAATGCACAAGGTATGTCCATATATTAGCCCCAATTGAAAGCACACTATATTTAAGAGCATTATAAAGGATTCAACAGTACATTTGTGTCTGATAATAAGATTTATATTTTTAGCTATCAGATTCCCTTTTTATAGAGCCTGAAGACAGTAAACACTACTGCTAATTAAATTAAGTACTTTTAAGGCCAGAAGGAATATTGCCATTTAGCATCTTTTAAAAAAAATGTTTTGAGTTTGAGTTCATAAATATTCAGTTACATAATTTAGTAGTTTGTTCAATGCATATATAGTATATATTTTAATTGATGGTTGATTGCACATAGTTGGCATATTGCAAATTAGTATAAGATTTAGCAGTACACCAATAAAGATTTTTTGGGCCAATACCAATGGCCAATTATTAATGAGCCATATTGGCAGAGACGTAGCTAATTGCTCCAGTAGTTTGGAGAGCAGCATCCAGCTGATAAGTCTGTTGGGAGAAAGGGGCATGGGGAGGCAGATCAAAACCCCCACGGTAAGGGAGAGAGTGGGGCTGGGACAGGTGCTGCACAGGTGAGGCAGGGCATGGAACGGGGCTATGAGCAGTTTGTCTGGCAGGGGGCAGCTCCTGTCACTGCCTGCACTCCTGGGAGAGGCATGTGCCCCTGGATCTGCGCAGGGAGAAGGCAGGCTGCTACTGTGGGCTGGCACCAGGCTCTGCCTGGAGTGGGAGCTTGGCCAGGGCTGCACTCGGGGTGGGCAGTGGCAGTACTGTCAGGGAAGCTCGAGGGGGGCTATGGCAAACTTTGGGGTAGCTGTAGTCCACCTGTAGCCCCCCTCCCAATGCTGCCTACCCCAAGCACAGCCCCAGCCCAACCCCCGCTGGAAAAAGCAGGCCTCACCCCTGGCCCCAGTCTATAGCAGCAACCCACCCTCGCTCTGTGTGCAGATTCAGGCGGCATGTGCCCCCCTACACCTCCTTCCAGAGTGCATGCAGCAGCAGGAGCTGCCCTCTGTGCCAGCCCCTGCCTCAGCCCCACTCCCTCCCTCACTGTGGGGGACCTCAATCTGCCCACCCACACACTTCTTCCCCCTCTCCCCCCAATGAACTTACTGGCCAGAAGCTGCTCACCAAGTTGCCAGGCTGCATTCCTCGCCATGTGCATGCTGCTGCTGCGCACATGCACTCTGCATTTATCTGCAACATTATCGGCCACATCCGCCAAAAAAGCCATTTGCCGATGTCAATTTCCCCTTTTCACCAATTTTCATTGGTGCCGATACAATATGGACCAATGTATCAGTGCACCTCTAATAAGATTACATTCCGAGTCCCTTTTTCTCAAAGTTTCATTCAATAGAATAAATACTAATAACACACCAATTGCCTATAAACAACCCTAACATTATAAAAAGAAAGAAACAAAACCTCTATTCGGTCTTGTAGATAATGCTATTTCAGCTTGCTATACAAGGGTTAGACTGAAATGAACAACAGGATAACGACTGCTAATGCAAAAAGTTAAATTACATGGGTGCACACAATGAAGATTTACCTCTCTTTTAAGATTCCAGAAAACCCTGTGTGTGAGCTAACAAATTTGGTTATGCCAACATCACGCTCTGTCAGCCCATGCTTCATCATGTCTGCAAAGCTCTCTGCGTCCCCATCGTCATCACTTTCCTCCAGTTCTTCATTTTCTTGCTCCTCACCTTCCTCATTTGGGATTATTTCATCTTTTGTGTCCTCATGCAACGATTTCTTTGATTTTCCAGTCACAGTATCAATTTTCAGGTCAGAACCATCTGCAGTCTTAGAAGACTCCTCTGAGATCTTCTGTCTTTTAATTTCATCCAAGTTAGCCTCTCCATCCTCACAATGAGGACGTTTCAGTGATACACTAGTCATGTCTACAGTTTCCATGTTTAAGGCACAGTATAGAGTATAAGGTCCTGAGGAACAAGAAACAAAAACACTTCAAAAGGTTTATTTCCCATATTTTTCAAACATGTAATGTTGGCTACAAATGTCCAACTCAGGATCCTTAAAATTCTAGTTTATTAGGCAGATTGAAACACTGTAATCATAAACCTTGGGGCTGGTCCACACACACACACACACACACACACACACAGTAGCAGGCTACAGAGTCAGGTATACCTATCCTACAAGGGCTAGAGTCTGCCGTCGATGGCCAGTCGAGGCTTCTTTCAGCGTGGTGTTATCCTCCAGAAAGGGGTCGCCAGCTGGTCCTTCTGGCTGGACAGGTCTGGTCGAGTTGGAGATCGAGATCAAGAGGGCGCCACTGAGGGTCACTTTTCACTGCCTTTTATCTGTCCCTGGCAGACTTTGGTGACTCCCCAGTTTTCAGGTTTGCCCAATCCAGGGGTCATTGACCCTCGTGGGACTTCCCCCTCCCACCCTTGATGGCTACTGGATGGCATCTGTCAGCCCCAGGGGTCGTCTGCATGTACGTGCAGGTTTGATAGTCCGTTGATGAATTTAGAATAGGACTCTGGGAGCGGTTGATCTGGAGATATTCAGCCCAAAAGTTGGTCTCTGGTGTTGATTAACTCAGGCCAGGGCTTCTAGCCTTTGATCAGTGACCTTTAGAAATTTTCTGGTTGTTACATTGTCTTCTATTGAGTTCTTCCATTGGTTGATCTGCAGCTTCCAGGTGATAATTGCTGCCTGCTTCCATGTTACACATTCAGTCACGTTACACATTCAATCACTGATTCATTCGCTCTTTCAGGGGCCAGCCTGATACAGAGAAGGGCAGTTTGATTCCTGCCCTTGTTAACATTGTTACAATGTATAACTTACTTATGAAAATGCACACATACAAATTTTAAAACACAATTCCTTATCTTAAAGTGAAAGAGAGAGGAAGGAAGAAAAGCTAGAAAAAGAGAAACATATCCAAAGAGGGGAGAGCAAATGCAGGCAAGAGGAAAAGGGGGCTTTCTGCTACAGTAACAAACCAAAAGCTTTCAAACACAAAACATCAAATTCTACACCATATTATACTCAAGCGATTCCCAAGTCAATGCAGTTGCACAGATATAACCAAAAATTAAACCAAAAGTGGCAAACATTACTTCCAGGGTACTTAAGGGTACTACAAATACATGATTTCTTCTTCCTAATTACCTTATACTCTGCAATATTTCAAGCTTAGGAAATAACTGTGACTCTCCATTTTATACTGCCACTAGATGTCCTGACTGACCCTCTTATTTAAATAAACTTGTATGTAAACCTGTAAGATCTCATGTGGCCACCATGAATTTGTTAACCTCAGATCCCTAGAAGAGGCAATAGACAGGAAGAGGGAGCAAAGAAGAAAGGGAGATGGGACAGAAGCATGGACCTGAGAAAACATAAGGCTCAGTATAAAAAAAGACTTGTTAGGAAAGTGCTAAGAGTGCTAAATCCAGAGAATATTTTGAGTATGCCCATACTGCAGTCCCTGCTGTGAGTGGTCACTGTGTCTGCAGTGTAGTGTAGACATACTTGACCAAGCTTGAAATTATTTAGTTTAGATGCTTATAGCAGTCTAGCAATCACAGCATAGAGTTCAGCCGGCAAACCTTGGGCTGAACATTCACCTAGCTTCTTGGGTGGGTCTCTGAAACCCAGAACTGCATGCTGCTGCACTACATTGTTAGCAGTACCTGAACTAGCTAAAGTTAGTTCATATTTCTCTAAGCCAGGGGTTCCCAACCTTTTTATGCTGCAGACCAGCAAACCACAGACCAGAAATGACAGTGGACCAGCATACTGTGGACCAGCAGTGACCAGGATACTGAAGACCAGCAGTCAACCCTTTTTTATACTGGGCTGCTAGCCTGCAGTATGCCTGTCACTTCCGGACTTCTGGTCCAGCAGTCAACCCGCGGTCCGGGGATTGGGAACCCCTGCTCTAAGCTACATTTCAATCGCTGCTACAGGGAAAGGAACAGGGGACACTTGTCTAACCATATCAAATTGAAAACAGACTTTTAGGGTTGCCTTTGAGACATGGAAAAGGTTTCACATTTAGACTACATCAATTTGAGTTTTTCGGAATGGGTATTCGTGAAATCTTCCTCAGCCAGGTCCCCAGAAGCAAGATTCAAGACCTCCAGCAAAGTCAACCTCTTTCTATGTTATATTCCTAGTCTTTGTCATGTTCAATTACTGCGGTAGTGCCAATGTCCAACCACCATATAGGTGTCACATAGTTTTGCTTCTGTATTAATCCAGGAACTAAGGATCTTCTAATTCAGGGGTGCTTAGCCTGCAGACCAGATCCAGCCCACAGAGCTGTGCGATCCAGCTGGTGGAGCTCCTTAAGGGTCCAGAAATTTGGTGGCAACTAGTGCAATCATCACTTCCCCACTGCCAAATTTCCCAGCCCTGGAGGCCAGATGACAAAGCTCTGTGCACAGTATCTGGCTAGCACATGCATGGCCAAGGCCAGGGTTTCAGGTCCAATCTGTCACACACACTAGCCCTGACCCTGGGCATGCCAGATTGGACCCATGGACTGGATCCAGCCCACAAACCAACCCCACACCATTGATCCAGCCTGTGAGGCCAAGAGGTTGGACACAACTGTTCTAATTCTTTTCCCTCCACAGCCAAATACAGCTGTTCTATCCTTACTTCTCCAACATTTCATCCTTGGTATATCAATAATTAAGGCATAATGGTTCACTGTTCAACTCAACAAGAATTTTATTCTCAAAAAAATCTCGCTCTTTATTCTTAAAAGAACAATCCCCAAATGGAGCTGTAAAGAACAGCATGACTAGGATTCTTCTACCAAAGCAAGGTAAAGAGTCCTTAAGAGGAAAGGGACAAGCAGTAAGTTTATGAAAAAAATCTCTGCAGAGAAAACTATAACTACTCACGGTTAAGGAATGAAATGCAGATCCTCTGCACTGGCTAGGTTCAAGGTCCACCTCTGGATCAGCAAAGACAGAATTTCAGGGGCTAGAAAAGAAGACAGGAAAGTTGTCTGAAGCCAACACTAAAAAATATCCAAAAAGATAAATGAGTCACAAGTACTCCAACCCTTTACAGAGGTGTCAGGACTTGTGGGATGTCCCCAAAGTCTCCTGGGCATCACATTGCTGCAGTAATTCTATAGAAACTCCATGATCTGAAACACATATCCCTAGCCTTTTTGGGAAACATTTCCCACAGAAGAAACACTGCGACTCTGAATTTGTGGCACAGAATTTATGAAACTTTTAAACTCCCTTTCCCCAATCATAAAAATAATACTAATAACTCCTATAGCTATAGTTGAACATCATGAAACCTAAAGAAATCAACAGCAGCAGCAGCAGCTAGGAAAAGCCATGTATATGTAGTTAACATGGGGGGGGGAACGACACATTATACTGTATATATACTACCTAATTAGGGTGTCATGGAATTGTACTGGCCTGACTATTGTCTGTAAAAAATAACCTTTGAATATATTGCAAAGTCAGTAACAGGTAACCAGCTGCTACTATATAGTAAAGCTAATTTCAGGCAGAAGGTGTAATTTGTTTGTTTTAAATTTTTTCCTTAAGGGATTTTTGTCATAAAGTTCATGAAAGATGCCAAAGCAGACCAAGATGCCCATAATTACATGCTCTCCTTTCCTATATCAACCCACCTACTTGCAGGCAGGATTTTTAATTGGAAAACTAAAATAAATTTGCTGCCAAGAAGGAGCTCAATCAGGGCTCAAAGCAATGACCTTTGATCTGCCTGCATTATCCTGTTTCACTTTCCCAGCTACTAGATAATCTCTCATACTGGACATTTTAACAATTCATAGTTTAAGAAAGACTCATTGCTGGTTATATCTGGTCACACGCTGAATTGTTAACTGCGTTGAAACCATATATAAGTGTTCCATAAACTCAAGAATGGGAGTCTACTTATGCAGCCACTACTTGTTTCTCACTAATTAGATTTCAAATTTGTTGTTAGCTGCAAATATGAATGTGGCTGTAAAAAGAACCAACCAGACTGATTTGATTAGCTTAACTGTAAAGGAGAGAGAAAACTGCAGCACCAACATTTGGAAGAGCCAACTTGAACTAAGAACTTTAAAAAAAAAATGAAATAACTCAAAGTGCTGGGAAATAATCTCTATTTAAACTTTATTTAAAAAAAACAAGGCTTTATAAATTATAACCAACAGAAACAATTCCAGAGCAGCTCCCTTTACCTTCACATCCCAAACCCATGCAGCACCAACTATATGGTATTCGTGTGGAAAAAGAGGGGACACACTAACTCTGATCCTTCACACACCCTTTGGGGGACAGTGATGTTGTCCAAATTATTTACTGTACACTAAAACCTGGCAGGGTTACAATCCATTGGGAAGCCTGCCAAAGGAAATTAAAATATTAATGCCTTATGGGTTTCTAAGACCTCTGTTACACATTACATATATTTTGCAGTGAACTGGTTAATCATGCAATAAATGTAGACCTTGCACACATGCAAAGTACTTATCACACAATAAAAATGACAATCCAATTATAAAAAGATATAACCATCTATAAAGTTAGGGTACCTACAGGTGCCCGACACCTGCTCCAACGCCTCTGCAACACATGTATTCAGCATCCCCGCATTTCAAAATGGCGATGGGACACTTCTAGGGAGTGGGAAGGCTTGTTCAACAAGCTTTCATTAAAGCACCCCCCATAGCTGTTTTAAAGCACAAGTTGCTGAATACATGAGTCACTGTGGGCGTTTTCATTAGAAAGGCTCCCAAGAGTCACTCTAATTAAAACGCCCCTCCTCCCCCCAGGGCATGTGTAAAGACGCCTTTAATGCTTGAAGATGTGCAACAACTGCATAGCTAGTTTCTACCCAGCTTTAATTTGAACATGTAGCAGGGCCCTAAAAGGTGCCATTACAGTAGAGACAGGGGATTAAACCGGGTTCTGACACCAATTTAAAATGATACAGCCTTAAGTCCCACCAGCAAATTTGTCATATAAAGTAATGATAATAAATTTGTTAACGAGTACCGCTGGCAGCAGTGGTGACACGTAGCGGGTGCACGTGCACCTCCCCACAGGCCGCGCTCCCTGCTTAGGCAATGGGCGCGGGGGGTGAGGGGCAGGTGGGAGAGCAGGTGCCCCCCCACGAGCGCCAGGCAAAGCACTGTGGCCACTACTGGAGCGCTGCGGCCCCCCCGACCTCCGACTGGTCGCTGGGAGGGGCACGTGCCCCCCTGACTACGGTGGCACCAGGCGCCCGTGACTGGCGGGACCCGCATGGGTATAAGCCATGACAAAGTTAACCCCCCCCAGCTGTCTCAGAGCAGCAAAGCAAAATGTAACACCTGGAAACAGGCGCGGGTCCAGCAGGGACCCCCCTAAGGGGCAGCACGGGAAG